ATCTGAGTAAAATGAAATCCTTGAGAACTTCAGTCTTTTCTCCATTTATCATGATGTTTCTTATTGGTCTAGTTACAAGGATTTTATTTATTTTAATTGAGGTGCAATCCATACTGAAAGCTGTAGCCTTTGATCTTCATCAGTAAGTATTTTAAGTCATCTTCACTTTTAGCAAGCAAGACTGTGTCATCTCTATGTCACAGGTTGTTGATGAGTCTTCCTTTAATCCTGATGCCATATTCTTATAACCAAAAACCAAACTCACTGCCATCAAGTCGATTGCAACTCATAGTGCCCCCTTTGGGTTTCTGAGGTGGTAAATCTTTACAGAAGTAGATGTCTAGAGTGGCTGGTGGGTTTGAACTGCCAGCCTTCTGATTAGCAGTCACATGCCTTAGACACTGTGCCACCAGAGCTCCCTTCTTCATGTAGTTCACTTTTCAGATTGTTTGCTCAGCATACAGATTGAATAAGTATGGTGAAAGGATATAATCCTAACACGCACCTTTCTTGATTTTAAAGCATGTAGCATCCCTTTATTCTACTTGAACAACTGCCTCTTGGTCTGTGTACAGATTTCTCAAGAGCACAATTAAGTCTTCTGGAATTCTCATTCCCCACAGTCTTGTCTATAATTTTTTATGATGTACACAGTCGAATGCCTTTGCGTAGTCAAGAGAACAGGTAAACATCTTTCTGGTATTCTTTGCTTTCAGTCAAGATCCATCTGACATCAGCAGTGATATCTCTGGTTCCACGTCTTTTGAATCCAACATGAATTTCTGGCAATCCCCTGTCTATGTAGAGCTGCAACTGTTTTTGAGTTATTTTCAGCAAAATTTTATTTGTGTGTGATAGTAACGATATTGTTTGATAATGTCTGCATTCTGTTAGATCACCTTTCTTTGGAGTGGGCACAAATAGCAATTTTTGCCAGCCAGTTGTCCAGGTACCCGTCTTCCAAATTTCTTGACATACACAAGTAAGAGCCTCTAGCACTACGTTCATTTGTTGAAACATCTCAATTGGTATTCTGTCAATTCCTGGAGCCTTGTTTTTCACCAGTTCTTTCAGTGCAGCTTGGACTTTTTCCTTCAGTACCATCAGTTTTTAGTCATATACTGTCTGCTGAAATTATTGATGTTGACCAGTTCTTTTTGGTACAGTGAGTGTGTTCCTTCCATCTTTTGATGTTACCTGTATTGCTCAGTATTTTGCCTCTGGAATCCTTCGTTATTGGAACTTGATACTTGAATTGTTTCTTTAGTTCTTTCAACTTTAGAAATGCTGAGCATGTTCTTCCCTTTTGTTTTTCTAACTCCAGGTCTTCATACATTTCATTCTAATACTTTATGTTTTTGAGCTACCCTTTGAAATATTCTGTTCATCTCTTATTTTCTTATTTTCTCCATTCAAGAGTAAGTATCAGAGTCTCTTCTGACATCCATTTGGGTCCTTTCTTTCTTCCTTTTTTTTTCTCTCTCCCCTTCACCCATATTAAAAAGTATCTACCCTCTAGTTAATCTACTTCCATAGTGATACTGGCTCGGAAACTCAAGGAGGGGTCTCTATGAGTCAGGTTGGACTCAATGGCACTTAACAACAACAGCTCTCTAGTTAATGGTTTACCCCTCCCTCCCCTCTACCCCTGGTAACCATCTAAGAATCCTGTCTCTTTAATTACCTTTTGTTTTCTTTATGTATGATGTCCTTGATGTTTTCCCATAACTTTTGTGATCTTTGGTTATTGGTGTTGAGTGCACCAAATCTGTTCTTCAGATGGTCTCTAAATTCAGGTATGATATACTCAAGGTCTTATTTTGGCTTTCATGGGTGTGTTTTAATTTTCTTCGGCTTCAACTTCAACTTGCTTATGAGCAATTGATAGTGTGTTCAGTAGTCGGCCCCAGCCTTGTTCTGAGTGATGATATTGAACTCCTCCATCATCTCTTTCCACAAATGTAGTCAGTCTGATTCTTGTGCATTCCATCTGGTGAAGTCCATGTGTATAGTTGCTGTTTATGTTGTTGAAAAAAAGTATTAGCAGTGAATAAGCCCATTGGTCTTATAGAATTCTATCATGTGATCTCTGGCGCCATTTCTGTCACCAAGGCCATATTTTCCAAATATGATTTTCCAAATACTGATGCTGCTTCTTTGTTTCCAACTTTTGCATTCAAGTCCCCTGTAAATATCAGTGCATCTTGACTGCATGTTTGATTGTTTTCAGACTGCAGAAGTTGGCGAAAATAGTTGTAGTAACTGGTCTTCCTTGTAGGCGTTTGGATATTAGCCTGTCATTGACAGCATTGTACTGTGGGATAGATCTTGAAATGTTTTTGGCAGTGAGTGTGACACCATTCCTTTTCAGTTCGTCATTTCTGGCGTAGTAAACTTTATGATTGTCTTATTCAAAATGGCCAATACCAGTCCATTTCAGCTCACTAATGCCTAGAATATCATCTGTGTGTTCTATTTCATTTCTGACGACTTTCCATTTTCCTAGATTTATACTTCGCACATTCCATGTTCCAATTATTAATGGATGTTTGCGGCAGTTTATTCTTAGTTTGAGTTATACCACATAAGCAAATGAAGGTCCTGACAGCTTTACTCCAGCCATATCATTAAGATTGCCCCTACTTTGAGGAGGCATCTTCTTCCCAAGGTATATTTTGAGTTCTTTGCAACCTGAGGAGCTCGTCTTCCAGCACTGTATCAAGACAGTGTTTCACTGCTATTCGTAAGGTTTTCAGGGCCCAGGTTTTTCAGAAGTGGACTGCCACATCCTTTTTCCTAGTCTTAGTCTTGAAGCCCCATTGAAACCTGTCCAACATAGTATTTGAAATAGTGGTGGCATAGCTTTGCGCATCATAGCAACATGCAAGCCACCACAGTATGACCAACTGATAGAGGAGTGATGGAGGTGTAACACACACAGTGAAAGGCATACATTTTAACTGTACAGCTCACTGGAATCTTACATATGTCACTAAAATTCTGAATCTTGTAGTTTTTTATTTAACATAGTGAGCAGTTCAGTATTCACAAAGAGCCTACTTTTTGGCCACTTTTGGTTTTGTAAATGAAACATATCATTGTGTTAATTTCTTATTTCTGAGCCTGTCTGTTTCTCTTTCTTCCACTTTACCTTGGTCACTCTTGTTCTGGCCAAGATGCAGAACTTTGCTTGGGTTTTGGCTGGACCTAATTGACTCCTGTCTTGCAGAGGTTGATTTAATTGTCTGTATTGACCTTACATTGACCTACTTTTGCCTTCACTGAGGTCACACATGTCAGCTGCCAGATCGTTTTACATTAAACATGACTGTGAAGGCAGTTGCTTCATAGGAGAAAGTTGAGCCAGTCTGCTTCTGTAAAGATTTACAGCCCTGGAAACACTATGGGGCAGTTCTACCATATCCTATAGGGTTGGAATAGACTTGATAAAGTAGAGTTTTTGTTTGTTTGTTTTATGAAGCTAGAGTAGATGACTGTTTATCTGTACAAGCTGAAGTCAGAAATGAACAAATGTGCAGCTAGCCACATATGGTCCAGCGCTTCCCTTGGGTGGCTTTGTATACATCTCATGGGCCTTTTGAAAAGAGCTTCTGTTTGGGAAGAAGTGAGAGGCTCCTCAGAGAGCTTGAGCCGGGTGTTGCTAATGCCCACACAGCCAGATGCAGTGACCCGTGAGTTGCCTCGTGTACTAGCACCTAGCCGGCCTCCTGTCAGGTGCTTTGTGCTTTGGGCTATGTGGCAATTGTAGCTTTTCATATCTCTCTCACTTGAGGGAGGATGTGAAGAAACACTTTGGACAGCAGTTTGTTTTGATACTTGATTATGCTTATACCAAAGCACCATATTGAAGAGTTTTGAATGTAATGAACTCAGGCCTAAGTAAAGATTGCTCTCATTCACCCATCACCCTCAGAATTACTGGGTTTCCCCGACCTCCATCACCTTGTTTCTGCTGGGAGCTAATGAGCTGTGCCCTCACATACAGATTTCGTGGGACTGGAAAATGTGTGCTTTTGTCACTTATATCATGTGTAAGCAGAAGTTTGTGTTTTCCATTTAGCTTTGTGTCTCATTGTTCTGGGAAGGTTTACCCATAAAGGATTTTTCTTTCCCTAGGCAGTGCCCAGGCCTGATGAATTGTATGTTCTGCTATCTAGTGACCTCTAAGAGGTACAAATTTGTCACCTAGACCAGAGGTCTGTGAAGATAATAAATACTTTAGGCTTTTCAGGCCTCATGTGGTCTATCACCTCTTACCCTACACCCCCACCCCCACCCCTTTAAAAAGGTGGAAACAATTCCTGGCTTTCCTGCCTGGCTGGATTTGACCTCCGAGTGGTAGTTTGCCAGCCCCTCATCTCCATCAGGGTATTAGAGCTTGGTGGTTGGGAAGAGTGATCATCCTGGACATTTTGCTCTGGCCTTCCTCTTAGGGAAGAGGTGATGACTTTGTGCCCTAGAAGAGGCAGAAATCCCACTAACCTTTCTAATAGGAGCTAAAGAGTGCTTACCTAGGACCATGATGTAAAAACTTTTAACTTTACAGTTACCTTATTATTATTTTTGTTTCTTATTTCTCTTCAATGCAACTAATGGGAAAATTCTTACAAGGCAAAGGACTTAACGTACTGACATTTTGGAGGCAGCAAGAAATGAGGTTTCTGGCAGACGTTTGTTTTCCTCTGCCACCCTTGGGCAGAAGGGGTTGAGTGCTGGCAATTGTTAGGGGAGCAAAGTGCATGCCGATCACCTGGGGCAAGGAGGAAGAGGAGAGACCATGAGTTAGGCGGGCCCAAGGAAGTGCTATGTGCAGGACTCCCACACCACCAGCTTAAGTATTAAGAGTGTTTTTTACCTTAGGAACCTTGAGTTTGGTCCAGACTTAGGGCCAGCAGTCCTGGCTCAGCCAGTCTGCTTTCCAGGCAGAACCACAGATGTGCAGGCCTGGTGCTGACTCACACTTCTGCTGCTGCTTCTAGAGTTGTCTGAACAGCTGACTCCTGAAGAGGAGGCTGAGGAGACAGAGGCCTGGGCCAAACCCCTGAGCCAGCTGTGGCAGAACCGCCCCCCAAACTTTGAGGCTGAAAAGGAATTTAATGAGACCATGGCCCAGCAGCCCCCTCACTGTGCCGTCTGTATGATTTTTCTGACTTACAATCAGGTAAGCCTGCTCCATCCTTTTGCTTACTCAAGACTAGTCTTTGGAGGGAAGCTAGATTGGATTGTGGGTGTATAACTTGTCACAGGTTTATCATGGGGAAGGCGTTTTGTTCTCTAGCGTTCTCTGTTTCATCCATATATTGGGTGGACTTCACCAGGTAGGTAACCCAGCTGTGGGTTTATACTTAAGAATCCTTTGGAGAAGAGCTGAGGATGCAGCTTAGATTCTGGGGGATTCCCTGCTCCTCTTTGCACCCTTACTCATCAAGCCTTAGAAATTCATAGACTTCACTTTTGTCAGAGGAGTCTACTTTCTTTGTGGTTATTCTCACTCAACTGCTGTTGAGTTGATTCTGACTCATAATGACCCCCATTGGGTTTCCAAGGCTCTCAATCTACGGAAGCAGACTGCTCATCTTCCATAGGGTGGCTGGTAGGTTCGTACTACCAACCTTTTGGTTAGCAGCCAAATGCCTTAACCATTACACCACCAGATCTCCTTTGTCATCATTCCAGTCAATGATTATTCCTGCCAGGTGCTTTGTAGTCCAGACCAGTCAATTTGAGGGACTGCTAATTCCTTTGCTACAACCTGACCTTCAAATGAAAAGCCAGGCTCTCTAATGTTGTCTCCTTCCTTCCTCCCCCATTGCCACAGAGGGTAGTGCCAGTAGCCAAGGGGAACTTGGGGGAGGATGGAAGCAGAGGGCCTGAGGAGAGGGAAGGCTGAGGCTCTCTGGCTGAGCTCAGCTATGCCACACTCCTACCCCAGTGGGGGGCTTTTTGTTGCCTTCACCATCGTGGAGCACTTCTGGTCCAGCTTTAGGAGGCCAGGAAGGCATTCTCAACAGCATGTTCCACATGACCAGCTCAGTCTCAGTGGGAACCTGCTCAGGGTGGCAGGGAGGTAGCCAGTCCCTCTGTGGTGGTTAAACTGATAAGCTGCTGAGCCTGGCAGGGCCCCAGGCTTCTACTTTGGTGAAGAATAGAACCTCACACCAACACATTTTGTATTAGTAACTTACTACTTCTCTCCATTGGGCAAAAAGCAGAACTGAAGAACCACATAAGCAATATGTATGAGAGCGGCAAATGGCCTGGCTATCAAAATCAGCTTTGTGAGTGACATTGCCTTAGGGCTTGAGATGTTGCGGGGCTCTACCCTTAGGGCTAATGGTGGCCATTTAGCAGCAGAACTAGTAGATATTAGCAGCATATTTGCTAAGGGAAGTAGGCAGACATAATGTTCTTCCTGAAGGCACCCTGAGCCAAGATTTTGCGGGTGGGATACTGACCATGTGATTGTGCTGGAGCTCAGGTGATCTCCTGACATGAACCATGAAAGGGAATGAATGCTGGCCCATTAGAACCTCCTGCTGTGGGTGCTGTCCCTGAATGGGGCTACTATAGGGTGAAGCACACAGCGGAGCCCACAATATAGCTAGCTGTTAGCATCTTAGTACATTTTATTACTACTTGGTTTGAGAAGATTGAAGTCCCAGATGCCTCTTACCTCGCTCCCTTTTCTCAGTTGTCCCCTAGGGGCCTATGTTTGATGCTGCTGTGAGAAATTGAATTTGAGTCATTAGAGGTAACTTCAATTAGCAGCTCCAGGATAATGGCTATGCACCCGGGAGCCATAGCCACAGTCATAGCATAAAAGAGTCTGCTTTCTGCTGATGGAGCAGGTGGAAAGCTAAGAGCATAGATATGTGTTCACTGAGGTATACACTTGCTTTCTCCTCTTAGGTTGAGTTTGGAGGCCTTAATCAGAACTGTGCAAATGCGCCAGATTTAGCGCTCCAGAAGCAGAGGACCAAGCCATTGATTCCAGAGATGTGCTTCACCTCCACTGGCTGTAGCACGGACATCAACCTTTCCACCCCTTACCTGGAGGAGGATGGTACTAGCATTCTGGTCTCCTGCAAGAAGTGCAGTGTCCGGGTGCATGCCAGTGAGTGCTTGTCACCATTTCTTTTCATCCTGTACCAGGAAGTGTGGGTCTTCTCACTGAAAGTCCTTGCCACCTCTTGGTCTTCTCCCATCCTTCTCCTCCCCTCCACCATGGCAAAGATTGTTTACAAGTCATTGGGGAGTTTGTTGCTGACTGATTTGGAAGTTCATTGTGTTTAAGGACTCCAGGAGTCCATATTTCTGTTGATACTTGCAACCAAGAGGCATTTGTCCCTACTACTCACTACGTGTTTATACTTTTAGTGACTCTATAGGTTCTGACCTCTGAAGACCTTGGACTCTACTGCTGCCTTATTTGAGCCCTAGGAGCTCTGATAAGAATTCAGGGATATTTTTTCTTTCTTTCTTTTTTTTTTTTTTGTGATTTGGGTGAAAGTTTACAGAGCAAATTAGTTATCCATTCAACAATTTATATACATTTTGTCTTGTGATATTGGTTGCAATCCCCTCAATGTAATAGTACTCTTCCTCCTTCCTCCCTGGTTTACTGTTTCCATTTGTCCTTTTTCCCTGCCTCTTTCTGCCTTCTGAACTTTGTTTTGGGGCACATGCTGCCCTTTTGGTCTCATATGGTTGATTGTTCTGAGGAGTTCATTCCTCACGGGTATTATTGTTTCCTTTATTAGCCCTGTCTATTGTTTGACTGAAAGGTGAATCCTCAGGATGGGTTCAGTTCCAGGTTTGAAGGGTATCTAAGGGCAATAGTCTTGAGGTTCCACTGGTCTCTATCAGACAAGTAAGTCTGCTCTTTTAGAATTCAGAAATTTTTGTACAATTTGGTTGTAGCTCTGTGAAGTGGTATATGGAAAAGAGCTGCAACGCTACATTCCAATTCTGGCTTCTGGGTTAGTTTTCTCATTTGTGTCTCTTTTAGGTTGCTATGGGGTACCCCCTGCAAAGGCTTCTGAAGACTGGATGTGTTCTCGGTGTTCAGCCAATGCCCTGGAGGAGGTGAATTCTCCACACTATTACTGTCGTCCCCATGAGATTTCAGGTTCACTCAAGGCCAGACTAATTCATACTGGACTTTATATCCCCACCAGTCCACATGGGGTCTGGTACATGGTGGTATCAGGATAAATTCCCATGGCAGTGAGGGTGGCTCCTGCCCACCTGTGCTAGAGCATGAAGAGAGGCTAGAAGCTGTGTTTGAGTGAACCTGTGTGTGTCTTAGGACCAACTAGACGTTCTGAGGAAGAACGATCACCCCTTTTACATAATTTAGCTGAGTTGGAGATTGAGAACAGGGCTCTTAGATGGTTTATTTTGTAGCCTTCATCATGCCCCATAGAATCAGGCACCCCACATAGGAAGTAGTCAGAGCTCTGTATGGCCTCTACCTTGAGCAGAGTGTCATTGGGATTTTGCTTAGTTATTATTAGCAGTAATAGTGAAGAGGATTGTGTTAAGTTAAGCAAACACTTGGTGTACTTCAGCCCTGAGTGGCCTCTCCATCTTCTTCCAGGGGTGTCCAGGTTCGGGGGCTATGTAGGCTAAGCCACACACACCATTAGGCTACTTATGTTGAAGCTACAGTTGCCCAAAGGATGTCAGGGGGAGAGCAGATTGGATGTTAATGACTTGGTGGTAACCACTTTCCTTCCTTCTTTTTACTTGGCAGGACTGCTGTTTATGTTCATTACGAGGAGGCGCCCTGCAGAGAGCAAATGATGACAGGTAAGGTGTTTTGAGGAGGGTCTCAGTGCTCAAGCTTAATTCTGAAGCAGCGTGCAGAGGCATTACGAGGGACATGGCTATTCATCTAAACAACTGGTCAGAACTTGGGAAGCTTTGATTGCATCTCTGAGACTAATTTATAAAATGGGTTGCCAGGGAAGCCAAGCAGTCCCAGACCTATTCAACTCCAACTGCCCCTCTGAGGCAAAGATGTAAGTAACATTCTCTTGTAATGGCTAAGAATGGATTCATAAGGGTATGAAGATCCTGTGATGATCATATGATGCAGGGACCTTGTGAGCTGCAAATGAATATCATTACCGTGTCATAGCTGGGGCTGGTGTGCAGAGGTTGTCATGGCTTGGTGATGAGCCTTTTCCACATGGCACACTCTCTCTGCCTTAGACCTGTTTGAAATGAGGGTGAGTGCCCTCAAGGAAGATGGGGGACACTCAGCCAAGCCCACCCCACTATTTAATCAAATCAACAAAAGTGTCTGGGCATCGGCGTCTGAAGTCAGGCTTAACAGCTGTCAGGCACCTCATTTGTACTGAGCTGCCCAGTGTTGTGCTTAGTTGTTCTGAACTAGAAACATTAAAACGGATAAGGTTTTGCCCTGGAAGAGCTGACTGTCTAGGGGATAGCAGATGGATTGCTGGGCAGCCAGTGATGAGTATACTGATCCTTGCTAAACTCCTGTGAGAACTTGTAGCAAGCATGCAGTCTAGCCTCCTGTCTCGTGCTGTTCCAGGTAGATAGCCCCTCTGCTGCTTCCACTCCTTTAAACGCTCTTGTTGCCATTACTTAAGGTTCTTGTGTTCCATTGTATGGTAGCTCAGTTAAAGTTCTTCCTTATTTGAAGTGGAAGAGGTTCTGCTTGAGCCTCCTACATTTCCCTTTTAATCTTTGCTCTGCCCTCCAGGGACACACACAGCAAATCTGTTCCCACTCCCACATACCAGTCCTGCCAGTGTAGCCCAACACCTTCTGTGGTTGGTTGTGTTCACCTGGCCTGAATAAGAGCTTTTCCAATCCCGTAGTTCTCATTTTGGCATATGTCATTTTCCCAGAAGCTCAGAACTTAACTATAATTCTCTCAAGGATATCCATTGAACAGACCTCACAGAGGAGATGGGGCTTGGACCAGACCTGAACGAATGAGTCTGGGGTGGATAAAGGGAGCAGAAGAGAGAGGTCATTTCAGCTTGGGGGAAAAGGTTTGGACAGAGGCCTAGGGAGGAGAACTGTGATTACAGCCAGATTGGAGAACAGTTAGAAGTATTTTCAGAAAGCACCCAAGTCCTGGGGTAAAAGGTCTGTGTAGAACTCTCTACTTTATTTTTAGCCCCTGAGATCTGCCACAGTCAACTAGCTGTTGCTCTGCTCATTTTGCAGCAGATTTTGAGTGAGTTGGTGGTGTCAGAAGCATAACCTTGCATTAACTCCAGGCACTGTGGGGGACCTGCCCAGGCTCAGTGGTTTCTCCATACCCACTGCTGAGGCAGTACTGATTTTTAACTTGCTGAGCCCCAGGAACTTTTTGGTGGAAGTCAGTGGTCACATTGGGTTAGGGAAGAAGCACTGTTGGTGGGCCCACATTAGAAGAGAAGGTCTCAGGGCCACAGACCCACATGTATATGAAGTAGCCTTTGCCTTTGGCAGGTGGGTCCACGTCTCCTGTGCTGTGGCAATTCTGGAAGCAAGGTTTGTCAACATTGCAGAAAGAAGTCCTGTGGATGTGAGCAAAATCCCCCTACCTCGCTTTAAACTGGTGAGTAAGAAGAGATGGGCTTGTAGACGCTACATAACTGTCTTACATATAAGTCTCTGGGTGGAGGAGAGGATAGGATTTCTGAGGGCATCTTCTGCTTGGCTAACGGACCAATCTTTACCCCTTGGTTTTATTCACAGTTTGTGATTGTCACCCTGTGGTTAAAATTCCTTAAGGAAGGCACCTATAATCAGACATGAGATTGAAACGGTGTGTGTGCTGTCATGTTTCAGGAAGGATGTTGGCTCTTGCTTATTTTTGTCTATGTAAGTGGATGGCAGAGCAGTAGAAGAGCCTGTTCTGTTAGTTGCTGGAATAATTGTGTTTCTTCCGTACTGCAGAAATGTGTCTTCTGTAAGAAGCGGAGGAAAAGAGCTGCTGGCTGCTGTGTGCAGTGTTCTCACGGTCGTTGCCCAACTGCCTTCCATGTGAGCTGTGCCCAGGCTGCTGGAGTGATGATGCAGCCAGATGACTGGCCTTTTGTAGTCTTCATTACCTGCTTTCGGCACAAGATTCCTAATTTGGAGGTAAGGGAGAATCTGTTCTGGAATTCTCTGGTCAGAGTTTAGGATAATTTTCTCTGCACAGTGTACATTAATTGTGTCAGCAAGTTATTTCCTTGAGTATCATGCTTTATAGAGAGAGCAAATGAATAAGGAATTAAGAGATGGCCCCTATCCATTTCTATTCCCTGCTTTGTACTTCATGATTCAGTGGCACTAAACCACTTATGGTTGATTTCTTGTGATTCTTTGTTTGCATATTTGTGTCTTTACCAAGATAAACTCTTCAAAGGCCCATAGTTTACTAAACTGGGTGTCCTTATTACTTAACACAGTGCTAGGGATATAGCAGAAGCTTTGTAAATGTAAAAATCTGTAAAATGTTGAGCACCTAACAGTTAGCCATTAACTACTATGCAGTTCACCCTGTCATCTATCAGTTTATCCTACTGTGGTGGCTTGTGTAGTCCTATGGTGCTGGAAGCTATGCCACCTGTATTTCAAATTCGAGTGGGGTCACCCATGGTGGACAGATTTCAGTGGAGCTTCCAGAGTAAGACAGCCTAGGAAGAAAGATGTGGCATACTGCTCCTGAAAGAATTAACCTCTGAAATCCTTCTGAGTAGCAGTGAGACATTGTGTGGTGCTGTGCCAAAAGATGAACTCCTCAGGTAGGAAGACACTCAAAATACGACTGGAGAAGAGCTTCCTCCTCGGTAGAGTCAACCTTAATGATATGGATGGAGTAAAGCTTTCAGTACCTTCATTTGCTGATGTGGCAACTCAAAATGAGAAGAAATAGCTGCTAACATCCATTAATAATTGGAACATGGAATGGGTGAAGTATGAATCTAGGAATATTGAAGGCTTCAAAAATGAAATGAAGCATATAAAGATTGATATCCTAGGCATTACTGAGCTCAGATTGACTGGTACTGGCCATTTTGAACAGACAATCATGTGGTCTACTATGCCAGGAATGACAGATTGAAGAGGAATGTTAACGCATTTGTAGTCAAACATTTCAGCCTCCTGAATTACAGTGCTGTCAGTAATAGGATAACATTGAAACACCTACAAAGAAAACTAGTTAATAGTAGTATTACTCAAATTTACACACCAACTGCTAGAACCAAAGGTGAAGAAATTGAAGATTGTTACCAACTTCTGCAGTCTGAAATTTATCAAACATGCATTCGGTGCATTGATAATTATTGGTGATTGGAATGTGAAAGCTGAAAACAAAAAGAAGCATCAGTAGTTGGAAAATATAGCCTTGGTGATAGAAATGATGCTGGCAATTACATGATAGAATCATTGCAGATACTTTTTCAGCAACATTAGTGATGATAATACACATAAACTTTGCTAGAAGGAATACGTAGGAATCAAAAAGACTACATTTGTGGAGAAGTTCAGTATCATCAGTCAGAACAAGGCTGGGGACTGACTGTGGAACAGACTATTAATTGCTCATATGCAAGTTTAAGTTGAAGCTAAAGAAAGTTGAAACAAGTCCATGAGAGCCAAAACACAATCTTCAGTACGTCCCATCTGAATTTAGAGACCATCTGAACAATGGATTTCTGAAACACTGAAACACCAGTGACCGAAGACCAGACAAGTTGTGGGAAGACATCAAGGACATCACGCATGAGGAAAGCAAAAGATTAAAAAGACATGAAAGAAAAAAAGACCAAAATGGATGTCAGAAGAGATTCTCAAACTTGCTCTTGAATGAAGACGAGCTAAAGCAAATGGAAGAAATGATGACGTGAAAGAGGTGAACAGAAGATTTCAAAGGCAATTTGTGAAGACAGTAAAGTATTACAGTAAAATGTGCAAAGACCTTGAGTTGGAAAATAGAGAGGAAGAACAAGCTTGGCATTTCTCAAGCTGAAAGAACTGAATAAAAAATTCCAGCCTCGAGTTGCAATATCGAAGGATTCTATGGGCAAAATACTGAACAAGGCAGGAAGCAGCAAAAGAAGATGGAAGGAATACAGAGTCACTGTACCAAAAGTATTGATCGACCGTGAACCATTTCAGGAGGGTAGGGTTAAGATCAAGAACTGATGGTATTGAAGGAAGATGTCCAAGCTGCACTCAAGGCACTGGTGAAAAACATGGCTTTAGGAATTGACAGAATACCAACTGAGATGTTTCAACAAATGGATGCAACTCTGCAAACACTTACTTGTTTGTGAAGAAATTTGGAAGACGGCTACCTGGCCAACTGAGTGGAGGAATCCATATTTATGCCCATTCAAAAGGAAGGTGATCTAACAGAATGAAAAAATTACTGAACAGTATCATTAATATCACACATAAGTAAAATTTTGCTAAAAATAAAAGACTGTTGCAGCAGGATATTGACAGGGAACTGCCAGAAATCCAAGCTGTATTCAGAAGGGAATGTGGAATGAGAGATAACCATTGCTGATGTCAAATGGATCTTGGCTGAAAGCAGAAAATACCAGAAAGTTGTTTACCTATTTTATTGACTATGAAAGGCATTCATTGTGTAAAATGTAACAAATTATGGGTAACATTGAGAAGAATGGCAATAATGAACTGTGCTCATGAAGACTCTACATAATCAGGAGGCTGTTGTTGGAACAGAACAAGGAGATCATGCATGGTTTAGAATCAGGACAGGTGTGTGTCAGGGTTGTATCCTTTCACCATACTTATTCAATCTGTGTGCTAAGCAGATAATCTGAGAAGCTGGGCTGTATGAAGAAGAACATGGTATCAGGATTAGAGGAAGACACATTAACAACCTGCGATATGCAGACAATACAACTTTGCTTGCTGAAAGTGAAGAAGACTTAAGGCACTTATGAAGATTAAAGACTGTGGTCTTCAGTATGGATTACACCTCAACATAAAACAAAAATCCTCACAACTGGACCAATATTCAACATTATGATAAATGCAGAAAAGATTGAAGTTGTCAAGGAGTTCATTTTACTTAGATCCACAATCGATGCCCATGAACGCAGCAGTCAAGAAATTAAATGACATATTCCATTGGGCAAATGTGTTGTAAAATGACTCTTTAAAATGTCTTGAAGACCTTTTGTGTTAAAGAACAAAAATGTCCCTTTGAAGAATAAGGTGCACCTGACCCAAGCCTTGGTATTATTAGTAGCCACATATGCTTGGGAAAGCTGGACAGTGAATAAGGAAGACTGAAGAAGAATTGATGCATTTGAATTATGGTGTTGGTGAAGAATATTGTATATAACACACACTGCCAGAAGAATAAACAAATCTGTCTTGGATGAAGTACAGCAAAAATGTTCCCTAGAGGCACATAACAACAACAACAAGAGGCAAGGCTGGCGAAACTTCAACTTTTACTTTGGTCATGTTATCAGGAAGGAACATTCCCTGGAGAAGAGTATCAAGCTTGGTAAAGTAGAGGGTCAGTGAAAAAGTAGAAGACTGTCAACGAGATGGATGGACACAGTGGCTGCAACACTGGGCTCAAGCATAACAATTGTGAGGATGGTATTGGATCAGACAGTGTTTCTTTCTTTTGTACATAGGGTTGTTTTGAGTTAAAACTGACTCAACAGCACCTAACAACATAGACAACAATAATAACTATATAGTAGAGATCACTGGACTTTTCTAAACAGTGGAGTCCAGAGAAAGAAGCATTTAATTTTAGCTATTTTCATTAGAGGAGTGATGAAAGGTTTTGGTGAGAAGATGGAATTTAAAGTGAGTCTTAAGTGATGAGTAGGAATTATGAAGTGGAGGCATTCAAGGCTGCAGAAACAGAATGAGCAGGGCCCAGAAGAATGTTGGTACAAAACTGGTTCTGAGAACACTGCAAAGAATAAAGCTGGAAGGCAAGGCATCGCCAGAGGATTAGGGCCCTGCCTCCCACACTTAACGATTTTTACCTATCTTATATAGACAACTTTTTGAATATTCTGATTTTGGACTCTGTTTTAGCAGTCATTCTGGTGATTGTTTAAAGAGACCACTCAAGCAATAAGAATTTGAGGCAGAGGGACCAGTTAGCTTAGGAAAGAAATGAGGTCTGTATTGGGAGCACATTAGGAAGAGCTTTGGGTCACATATAACCCTGAGCACCTACAGCGGGTGGAATTGACAAGGTATGGTGACCTGCATGGGGAGAAGGGATGGAGAAAAAGAGAATATGAATTGAAGATGATGACTCAGGCTTCTCCCTTAAGAGATGAGAAGGATGCTAATATGGGGATGTTATTAACTGTGATCAGGAACTGAGATGGGACAGGGCTCTTGTTCTGGTTACCTAGTGCTGCTCTGACAAGAATAGACCACAGATGGGATGGCCTTAACAAACAGGAGTTTATTCTTACAATTTGGTGGCTTTAAGTCCAAGTTCATAGTGCCAGGCTCTGGGGCTGTGGGAAAGCCCCTTGATCTTGGGCTTCAACTCTGCCTCTTGGTCCTGGCCTAGTGAAGCTAGAGGCATCTCTTCACTCAGGCAGCTAGTGGCTGCTGAGGCTAACAAGCCCAAGTTGACAAATAAAAAGCACAGTCCTGATGTTACCAAACCACATGGCAGGCCACTAATTCAAGTCTGTTGTAAGTCCCCAGGTCGGCAGAGCATGGCAGGCTGCTGAACAACAACACGGCTGCACGCAGGGTCCAAGCTTGCCTTATACTAGAGACCATTCCCCAAACTGCTTCTTATAAATGGGAAGCAGACCACATACCCAAAGCAGCTACTCAGCTGCTTATGGTAGATCATACCATGGAGTTGATTGCCAGTCTCATCATGGGGAATAACTACCACTAGCTGCCCAGCCACTGAACCAGGCCCAGCCAAATTTACACAAAAACATAACTACCACAGCTCTTTTGCATGGGGAAGGAAGGGAGTGAGATGGAAAGGGGGAGAAAAGAACCTGTGGAAATTGAAGGCTCTGGAGCATGGTAGCTGAGTTACTGGGAGGTCCCTGTATTAATTATGAGGGTAAAGAGTTTAAATAGCATTTAATAGGATAACTGAATCGAATTTCCATGAGAAGTTGGAGAGTCCCAATATGAAGAACAGATGGCAGAGCATGAGCCGCTGAAAACAACTGAGAAAGGGGTGAGAGAAATAGGAGTACATACAATCCAGCAAGCCAGTGGAGGGTATCGGGAGGGCCATGTGCTGCAGGGAAGTTAGGTCTAGCATGATGGTCACTGGATAGCCCCAGCAGGGGAGTTTCCATGGGGTAGTTGGACCAGAAGCTAGACTGTAGTTGGGAGAAGTGAGACAATGGGACGTAGGTAGGAATGAGGTGGGACAGTAGCTTAAGAATGTGTTGAGAGGATCCCTTTAGGCCACCTGAACTGCCAGAGGATCCAAGATAAGAAAGTAGAATACTTGGTGGTTCAGGTCTGGAGGAGGGAAAATGAGCATAGGACTCAAGAGTTAAGAAGACTTGATTTGAATCCCAGCTCTGCTATGTGTTAGTTGTGTGAGCTCAAGCAAGCCATGTAATCTGAGTCTTGCAGATAACAGATGTGATGATGACAAGGAATTTCACAGGTTATTAAAAAAATAAATGAAAAGGTATGTGAAGGCATCCAACACAGTGCCTGGTACGTAGTATGTGCTTTATGAGTCAGATGAATGGTACCAGGAGAATGAGGGATGATGAGATTTGAAAAGGAGTAATTAGATGTTTTCCTCTGACAAGGTGGGAAAAGAAAAGGTGAGTCCAGGTACAGTAGTGTTGGGGAGACAAGCATTAGAGGGAGCCAGGGCATTAGAAACTCTTAGATTCAGTCTCCTCATCTATAACACCCTACAGTGAGTGTCCTACATCCTAGGGTAGTATAAGAGAGAAATCTTGCTCTAGCTGGGAAGATCTGAGGAAGATTTTCATTTCATTGTTATCCAGCAGGATACCATAGGAGCTCATGCAGGGGACATCTCCAGCCTACCTCAAAAGTGGACATTTTGAGCAAAGTTTATGTGAGAGAGATGTGCTCTGTCACATCTCACAGTCTTTTCATAGTTTGTCTTAACATGAAACCCCTCCTGTAAAAGGGACACACCTGGCTGATGTTCCTGATTTCTTGTGTGTGTGACATTATGCCCACACATAATGAAAGGCCCAGCTCTCCTGGTTATCTGCCATTTCCACACTCTCACTTGTACTGCCTGGGACAGTTTAGAGTTGTTTCATTTCTGTGGGGGAAGGTGGAAGAGAAATATACCGCTGTGAAAAGGATGTTGGATATCTTAGGGTTAGTAGATGAAGAAGTATACAGGTCCAGTAGCTCATGGGAAAGATGTTTTCACTAGAAAAGTGAAGCAAGAGGGATTCTAAGATTCTCTCCCAGTTCCTCCTGAATTTATTTTGGATAGTGAAGATTAGACTAATGTTGTACCTGGCATATCATAGGTACTCAATAAATATTTTGTTAAATGAGGGATTGAGAACATTTTTATGTAAAACACTTGTAGTAAATATTTAACAGAATGCAGACACCCCACCATCAGTGAGCTCCCTGATAGAATAGAAGAGCCAGTCATATAAATATTCCATCAACAAGGTGGTAAATATGATAATAAAGGTAAGAATACAGTGCCAGCCCAGAGGAGCAAGTTTTTTACTCTGTCATTAGGATCAGAGAAGAGTCCTTGTTAGCTGGTTGGATCCTTCTTTTTTTATGGAGAATTTGATTTACTGAGATTAAGGAGCAGTCAGGTTAATGGTTGCGAGCATGTAAAGATGAGAAAATGTTCAGTGAGAGACTGAGACTCTGGAGGAATGAAAGGTTGAGATAGCATTGAGTCCCAGCTGTGGAGTTCGTTATGAGCTGTGTAATGAGTTTTGTGATTATCATCAGCATACCACATCCTTAAATCAGCAGCTGTAGTTTGCTGATGCTATGAGGAAATTGAGGGCACTATTGAGTATTTCTCACACTCATTATAGTTCTTCAGATATTATTGAGGATCTGTTATCTGCTAGGCACATATTTAAGAACTGGGGATAATACTGGTGGACAAGATGAGGAAGTCCCTGCCCTTCTAGAGCATGTAGTGTAGGTGGAAAATATATAGGAAACAAGTAAATACACAGAATATCAGATGGTAAAAAGTGAAGTAGATTAAAATAAAGCCAGATAAGAGGGATATGAGAGGAGGTGGTAAGAAATAGGATCATTAAGATGACATTTAGAAGTGAGGGAGTCAGTGTGCAAGTAACTGGAGGAATAGCATTTCAGGCAGAATGAAGAGCAGTGCAAAGGCCCTGAGGTGGAAGTACACTTGGCATGCATCTTCATAGAACAGCAAGGTCAGCTTGGCTGGAACAGAGTGCTTGGGCAGGTTGAGGAGGAGTGACAGGGCATGAGGCTAGAAACGTAGTGAGAGTAGCTTTTAATCTGCATGACATAAGAGGCAACTGGAAGATCTTAAGTAGAAGAGTGACATTATTTTACTTAGGTGTTTAAAAAAACACACTGGCTTCTGGAAAGGAAGCTTGTTATAAAGTAGCTGAAGGCATCTGGGAAATGTCAGTCTGTGTGCCCTGGCCCTGAGAGTGGAACTAATGCTAAGGTCTGTGTGGAGCATTCCCTGGGCTCAGATCACTTACTGATTCTCTTTGATGTGTGTCTAAGCTGTGTGCATTAGTAAGTGCTATGTATTCTGTTTCTCACAACAGTAGAGAAGTCAGAAGAGTCTGAGAGTTGAGGTGAGAAGATATGGTATAAGGACCAATTGTGGACTGGGAGTTGGGGAGTAACCAAATTTATGGAGGAAAATAGGCCACTGGTTTCTTCCAGTGTCGTGGCTGAAATGTGGATATCTGAAAAGCCTGTTTGAGCTCCCATCTCTCTCTTTTTAAATTTTCCATTCTCATGTTTACCTTTCTCTGGTAAAGAGGAACCAATCAATCTTGGTCTCTAGTTGCCAGGCCTGTCCATGTGTGAGTAACCCAAGCCTCTGTTTGTTCCAGCGTGCCAAGGGGGCCTTGCAAAGCATTACTGCAGGCCAGAAGGTCATCAGCAAACACAAGAACGGGCGCTTCTACCAGTGTGAGGTGGTCAGACTCACCACTGAGACCTTCTATGAAGTCAACTTTGATGATGGGTCCTTCAGTGACAATCTCTATCCTGAGGATATAGTGGTAATGTCTGCAAGCAGCTGCTGAGGGCAAAATTTGGGGTAGGGAAAGATACCTTTAGGATTGGCTGGCAGATTGGCTGAGGGCCTCCCTATCTTTTCCTGTCTGAGCCCATGGTCCCATCCTCCCAGGGGTCAGTTGTCCGTAAATAGGAACAAGCATTTATAATGGTCTTTTCTTGAAGAAAAGTCATGTGCAACTCTTATACCCAGTTTTCTCTAGAAGCTTGTAAGAATCAGAAGTTTCTGCAGTTCTTTGACACATGCTTGTATTTCAATCTGGATTTGGGCTGATGTCCCAGTAGTAGCTCTATTACTTATTAGCTGTGTGATTTTGGGAGAATTACCCAACTCTTGTTTTATCCTGCCCACTTGATTGATGGATGGAATCTACTTTTGGTTCTTCACAGTTGAAGGCTTTGGGGCTCCTTGGAGACACCCCTGGCCTGCTTATGTTATCAACACCCAAGACACAGGAGGCCCTGCCTGGACCTAATCCTGGGTTTCCTGGCTCAGCGTGGAGGACTTGGTTCAGTTTTCCCCTACCCCCACTTTATTTGTTAGACAAGTCACCAAAGTTGAGCAGTGAAACCCATTCCTTCTATTAAACACTTAGGTACTTCCAATGTTTATACCACTTTAGTACCTTAGTTGCTAAAAGCACATTAATTTGTTATGAGGTAGATTTAAGTTGTGGTAAAGATGATATTAATAGTATCTACAGCAGTAGTATACCTATGATTTATTAAGCTCTTACACAGTGTGCCAGGCACTGTGCTAAGTGCTTAACATCCAGTATTTCTTTGAGTTCTCATATCAACCCTGTGGAGTAGATGATGAAATCAGTAACTTACAGGACAGTTGTCTCAGGACCCTCTTTTTGTCCTAAAAGTTATTGAGGACCTTGTTATTAAAGAGCTTGTGTTTTTGTGGGTTATGTCTTATCATTGTCAATATTTACTATTAGAAATTAAAATAGATTGGTTTAAAATAATCCTCTTTTTGCAAAAAAAAAAAAAAAAGTTTCTAAAACAAATTGAATGGGAAGAATGCCATTTTTCTATAATTTTGCAAATTTGTTTAATGTCTGATTCTCATACTACTTCTTCATTCAATCTGTTGAAATATGTTGTTTTGGTTAAAGTATATGAAGAAAATTCAGGCTCACACAGATACGTAGTTGGAAACGGAAGAGAATTATTTTCAGATAATTGTGGTAGAATATTCTTTGATACTGTACCAAAACTCAGTTAGTGGTAATTTCTTAAAGGTTAGTTGCAGGGTGGAACCTGAAACCATGTCAATGCAGTTTTCATATTTTGTTATGATAAAATCCATTGGCCTATCTTGCACTGAGAAATGAGTCTTTTACCCATGCATGATTTTGTAACACTTACACACTGGTCATTTAGAAAATACTGGTGCACGAGGTTATGCAGATTCTCAGATTTTCACTATACAATATAAAAAAGTCACATTCGTTAATTTCACCAATCTCATAAGGGAATTTTTAGTTTTAAAAGTAACAGTTATGCAATTTTCTGAAATTCTAATTTACACTTGAAGGCTTGAGTTTTATTACTGAGAAGAGATACAGTCAGTCATTTTCCTTGAAGTGATGGGCTCACTTCATTCATTTTTAAGATGTTTGTCAAATACAGTGAGTCCTTGACTTAGGACAGGGCTCTGTTCCAAGAACTCCATCGTAAGTCGGTTCTGATGTAAGTTGAATACCTGTTCTTGTTTAGTTTTCATTACTATTATCTTTTATTATCAGTATCTTTATAAATCCAGTGTTTTGAACAGTAAATCATAAAATTGAAATCTGTGATTGAACATAGGAGAATAGTAACATCAGAAAATTACATGCTACAGCATATTACTGATGTTACGATGTACACACACAAACACAAAAGGATGGTTGTGAGATTCATCCTAAGTCGAATATGTTGTAAGTCAAGGACTACCTGTGTCTAACTCTGAATAACCATAGTTTATCTGTCAGTCATCTTTTCAAGTCAAACTGGTGTCTCATGAAAAAAAGCAGCTAGTTCAACTCATGCAAACAACTACTATACAGATGCTTTTCCTCAAGACACCCATCAGACTTCTGGGCAGACCCCTGCCCAGACCTAAACAGACCTTTCATTCCACCAGCATGCTCATACATTGACTTTTCACTACACCCTTAGAGGGCATTTGGATACAAGTAAGTTCTTAAAGTACTTTGCCAAGGTGATCCTTTCTTACCTTTCCTGTTAACAACACATTTAAAATATAGTTGAGTACAATTCTAGCATTACTTCATGCCAGAACCTTGGAGAATCCTCAGAAGGGGCAGTTGAGGAAACATGAGAGGGATTCTCAATTCCAGCACTTTCCTTCTGTGTGTCTAGTTATCATAGCTGCATGTTTCCATTACCTAAAGCAGCACGGGACAGAGATACAGGATAGGCTAGACTTTGATCTTGCCACCCAGAGAGGCCTGCCTTGTGTGGCATGTCTGACTAGGAATTTTTCCTGGTTCATTCTTCCTTGGAGGAGATGGGAGTTACCACTGTACTCAGGTAGACCTTTCTTTCACTCTCCTTTTCCCTCAGAGCCAAGACTGTCTCCAGTTGGGTCCTCCTGCTGAAGGGGAAGTAGTCCAAGTGAGATGGACAGATGGCCAAGTCTACGGAGCAAAGTTTGTGGCCTCCCACCCCATCCAGATGTACCAGGTAGTCAGCAGTTCTTGCTAAGGAGTGGGGAGTACTTGATTGTTTCCTTTTGGGCCAGAGGTGAGGTTTTGTTCTTGAGAGAGCTAATGGGTAGGGAGCAATGCTTCATTTAGGGATCTGTCCCATGTCCAGCCTTCCAGGGGGGCTTCAGACATGACAGTGCTTACTTCAGTCCCCTGAATCCTTCCTGGGCTGCAGAAAATTGCCACTGAAGTACAGACAACAAATATGAACCCTTTTGCATATACAGTACTGAGTTGTAAGTGAAGGCAGACATGGGTATATGGATGGATAGATAGGTGGACAAGCTAAACGAGTAGGTATGTCTATGAAATGGGGAGTGTATCCAAGAT